CAAAAAGTCCTACATGTTAACTAGTAAGGTGCAAAATATCTACTAGTTAACTAGTAAGATATATTTTGTGTCTACTAGTTAACTAGTGAGCCTAAAAATGTTTACTAGTTAACTAGTAAGAGCAACAATGTCCACTAGTAAGCTAGTTTGACTCTTTTTAACCTTACTTGTAAACTAGTGAGGTTCAAAATGTTTACTAGTTAACTAGTAAGACCCAAATGTCCACTAGTATCACTATTGATGCAGTTACAAATTTTACTTGTTTACTAGCGAGGCTCTTAAAGTCCACTAGTTAACTAGTTAGTGCAAAAAGCCAACTAGTAACACTAGTTCAGGACATTTTAGTGCTACTAGTGAACTAGTGAGGCTCAAAATGGTTAACTAGTTATCTAGTAAGAGCCAAAATGTCACTAGTTACACTAGTAGTACTCTTTTTGGCATAACTAGTTAACTACTACGGTTTTAAATGTTAACTAGTACTACTAGTGAAAGCCAAAATGCGTACTAGAAACACTGGTTGAAGTACATGCTAATGAGTGGGTGGGATCAGGGCACTCTCTGAACCTTATCATTGGTTCTCCATATAGACCTCCACCTTCCACAAATTTAACCCTTTGTAAGAAGGAGCAAGTGCTGTGAAGCAACGGCTTCTTCCTTACTTTCCATGGAGAGTAAAACATGAAAATTATATATATATTAAATGTTAGAATTGTTTTATAAACTTAAAATAAGATAGAAGATCATTTTAGAACTGTTCTCATGATTTTCTTTTTCCTTTTTTATCCCATCAAGACAGTATTTACAGAAAACATAAGAAAGAGTACATCTTGAGGTCAGTAGAGTGATAAAAAACTGCCCAAGGTGCAATTGTAAGTTAAAAATGAATGTGTAAATATTTCATATAAATTCATGCTGTTTTTAAAAAGGAAAAAAGTTAATCAGATAAAATTATGGACTTTAAAACAACTGGAACTTGATACAGAATTTATGTTCTTGTACTTAATACGTTTTAATTTGGCCTAAAGTCGGTAAACTAAGAAAAATAAAGGGATTCAAGATTAGGGCCACGTAAAAGGAAAAAAACCTAAAATTTAGAGATTCAAATAGTTAATTTATGAGAATAAAGTAAAATGTACGAGATTAATTTCTTGTTTAAGTCTATATCAGAAGAGCAGCAGCCGCCTGTTCGAAAATGATAAACGTGGAGCATCTTGTTATAGTAAAGGTTTAACAAATAAGGAAATAGGCTCCTTCCTTGTGTAGTCTGTAAAAACAGTTGGACAAATATATCCGATAAGTTGTTTTATCGGCACATCATCATCACAAATAAAATATCAGGACCCTGAAAAGATACTGGAAGCAACTGTAACTTTTGTGGCAGAGGAAAATGCTTTAGGGGTTCTCCTTTCATCATTTATGCGCAGGCGGAAGGCTTCTCTATGATAGGCTACAACCTAAAAATGTACATTTTCGTAAATGTATGACTTTATTCTCCTAAATTTACATGTTTATTCTCGTACATATACAAGATTAATCTCAAATATTTTCTTTTTTTTTCTTTAAGATGGCTCTACTCCATCGTATAAATGAGCCCTAAAAATGTAATTTTATTATGTAAAATGAAGGTTAAAAATTGTACTACTTGCAAATGCCCCACAGATGGGGCTATACGTATATATACTGCTAATGTCTACAGTACTAGTACTACTAGTTGACATTTAGGCCTTTACTAGTGCTACTAGTAGCACTAGTCACACTAGTCGCCCTAGTCGCACTAGTCGTACTAGTAGCACTAGTCGCACTAGTCGCACAGCTTCCATGAAATTGGATGGGTATGGGGGAGGGGAATACAAAGAAGCTGCCTATTTGATTGGTTAAGCTTTTGGTCAATGTGGTTGCTTGTTTATTGGTTAAGAAAATTTACCAAATGCTACAGTTTTAAACGCAGACATGGCTGACACTGTCCTTAGGCTCATTAGAAGGAGATGTATAGCTATTGAAAGAGCCTTTCATCAAGGATCTGCAGGTCCAAGAGAAGTTCACACTCTCAATATTTCAATCGCTAATTTAAGAAGAGTTGAGGATGCCATTAGCGTCGACACTTTGAGGAATTTAATCCAAAGTCTCACAGATCTCAAATCTGTAATCGCTGCACCCGCAGCTACAGTTGCTGGTTTCCAAGCAGGCCGTATGCATTCTGGTAAGTTTGGTAAATTATTGTGTTTTTTGTCGGTTTTGTCGTGTTTGATATTACTTATCAGATTTGATATTCAAGACTAATTCAGGGACGCATTAGGTAACCAAATTGAAACAGTGTGATGGGTTACTATAAAGACTTAGAATTGACTGTGTTACTTCAGAAACAATGAAACTACTTTGCACCAGTCATTATTTGGTCATTTTTTGTAACTGCAATTAGGCTTTGTAACATGAAAATCTATGTAGGTCTTCTTCCCAGCCATCCAGTTTCAACACATACTCTGATTTCAGTGAGCTACCCACATTGGTCCAATAACTTAAATGACTAATTTTGGGCATACATACTGTATGTTTAGGAAGACAACTAATTTGGCATACTGAAAATATGCACGAAAAAAGTGGTATGGCAAAAAAACTGTTTTCTTTTTTACTACTGTGCTGCATGAAATCACCGGAATATTTGGATTGCTATATTACTGAATTATTTTATTTAAATATTTTTAGGGAGACGAGGGAGACCTGCGCTTGACATTACAAGGGAGCAAATTCAGCTGCTCCTTACTCAAGGTTTCACAGTCAGAGCCATGGCAAGGATGCTCGGCTGTTCCTCTTCCTACCTTCATAAGAAAATGAAATCTTTTCAGATTTCAGCAAGAAAGAGATTTACTTCCATTAGCGAAATTCACCTAGAGGAGCACATCAGGAGACTCCATAATCAGTTTCCAAGATCAGGCTCAGAAGTAAGCATACTGCAACATATTCTTGTGTATCCTTTTACAAAAATGAACTTTATCGTAACAGCTTTCAATTTTGAACTAATTTCAGATGATGCGGGCATACCTGCGTGCAGAAGGGATTGTAGTGCAAAGAAGAAGAGTTCGAGAGACCCTTAACCGCATTGATCCAGCCGCTGCAGCCCAGAGATGGAGTCAGACTGTGGCAAGGAGAACGTACCATGTGCCATTTCCAAATAGTTTGTGGCACATAGATGGCCATATGCGTCTCATTCGGTAATTGCACATCTTTATTGCTGGGAGTATTATTGAGTCATATTAGATGGGTTTAGTTGATTTGTTTTCATTGTCTTTGTTACCGCCTAGATTTTTTTAGTATGGTATGACCTCTCCCCAATCCATCTTAATCTACATTTCATTATCATCTTCTTTCTCTTTTCTATCTCAATCTTTTTGATCAACAATATTAAAATTAATGAATTTTGTGGTTTAAATGTGATAGAATGATCTGTAAGGGTTTATGTGTAAAGAAGTAATCAATTGTTCATTTTTATTTTATATGTTTTACAGGTGGGGGTTTGTGACGCATGCTGGTATTGATGGGAACTCCAGATTAATAACTTACATCAACTGCAGTACAAACAACACAGCTTTGACAGTGTTAACTAATTTTGTTCGAGCCACCTGTCTTTATGGGTTACCCTCCAGAGTCAGATCGGACCGCGGAGGGGAGAACACTCTGGTTGCTCTTTTGATGAACCTTCTGCAGGGACAAGGACATGCAGGTCACATTGCCGGTCAGTCTGTACACAACCAACGTATTGAACGTCTTTGGAGAGATGTTTTTCAGCAGGTTGTGCACTACTTCTACACACTTTTCTATTCTTTCGAAGATGAACAAATCCTGAACCCTGAAGATAACTTTCAGAAAATGGCTCTACAAGTAGTTTACAAGCCCGAAATCCAAAAACGTCTAGATTTATTTAGACAAGCATGGAACAACCATAAAATTAGAACGGCTAATAACCGTACACCAACACAAATATGGATGGAGGGCATGCTGGCCAACATTGAGCAGGAGTCAACAGCTCTTAACAATGTTTTTGGAGTTGACCCTTACATTGAAGAAAATCTTGAGGCTTGCTTGGCAAGACATGGCATACAGCTAACCCAGTTACAAGCAAACAGAGAAGACTTGGAACAAGCAGTGATTGTGCAACAACCACTCAACATAAGCTCTGATCAACACCAGGCTCTTCAAAATGCAATTGCTGGAATAACACACTTAAAGGACAGGTATCTTGTGTGTGCAAGAGAGCTTCAAAACATTATTCTCAGAACACAATGAACTTGCTAATTATTGTTTTGAAAAGACAATAAAATGATGGAGGCAGAAACTTTATCCAAAAAAAAAAAAGACTTGTGCAGAAGCAATGCAACTCAGTCATTACGTATTGCCTCTATACAGTAAATGTGTGGTGGTGACTTGGTCTGTAGACAGCCTGTCCTTTGTCTGGATTTTGATGTTTTACTTGACTTGGGACATTTCTGCGTGGGGAGCTGATGTGTTTTCACCAGCCAATGGGGATGGAGATGATATATATATTTCCATGAATGCCATGTTTCTGTGAGATCAAGCATAATTTATGCGATGAACAACCTAGAACAAAGCAGTAAGAAATGATAACATTTAGCCTCTGATCCTGAGCTTTACATCACAAAAACAAGGCTGTCATGCAAATACAGTTTATCATTGGCTCATTAGTCAATAATAAAATGGTCATAAGTAGCAGGCTTTACAAGCACCAATGTAGATTTTACATAAACAAGAACACAGACTTTAGAACTTGTTAGGGGGGACTAGCCATATTTTAACATTGTTTTTTTTTAGTTAAGATGGTGCAAACTGACTGAAAGTATCAGCTAATCCTGCCAGGATTCTGCTACTCTGAGCTTAAATTGGTAAGGACTAAACCTTTCCAAATCCCAAAGAGTCTTTAGTGGCCTGAAAAAGCATCCGATGTAATTCGTCCTCCTGCGTGATTCCTCTAGGAAGGAACAAGCACATCATGCAAGTCGAGGCGTAGGGCAAACGTCGCTGGCCTGACTCCTGTTCAAAGAAGTCAATGCAGGCTTATTTGGAAACCCAAGGGCAGGGACTTCATCTGCACCAGTGATGAATATCAGAAGGTCTTCGAATCTGAGTTCAGTCAATTTGTCTGCCAGGGAAAATAAATAAATAAAATAAATGACCATTCATGTCTACATCAATTGTCTAACGTGAAAAAATGAGGACTGTATATATTCCATGTATGGACTGTATAGTTTGTAAACATGACTCTCTGGACCACATTTTTCTATACTGAAATTACATCCCACAATTACACTTTCATTATTTGACCTGTGTCACAGTACATTTTAAATGGACTTTGTAGGCGTTAATTAAATTTTATAGTGTTCTTAAAGGAATAAAATGTACCTTCAATCATGTTCAGAACCAGCTCCCAGCAGTAGATGGTGTCCTCCTCTTCCTCACGTCGGTTGGTTCCTCTACTGCTGTAACTGTAAGTGAAGATGGCCTTGAATGCTGCCTTTGACAAAGGCTCCTGCATGTTGGTGAACAATGGTAGGAAGGCAATCCAGTTCTCCTTTACCAGGTCCCACAGCTTCCCAAAAGCGTTCATTCCCTCTGTGAACTGGTGTACCATTCTGGCCGTTCTATAAACCAACAGAGACAGAACATGAATAAAACCATTCAGAAGTTTAGAATCACAGATATTCTTTTAAATGCGCTTATTTTTTGGGAAGGGACTGAAAACTGGATCAAAAATAAAAATGTTTCAAAATACTATTCAAGTATGAAATGACAATTTCTTAAATGTATCTTTACAGTAGCTTTTTGGTTTTAGCAGCCATGACCAGGACAGAAAGAACAGAGGCAACCCATTACAGTAAAACACCTGTACAACACTACAAAAAACATATGTCTGACCTACAGCTGGTAGTATTTCTTTCTGTCCTGGTAATTTGTGACACTACCATCAATATTTTATATAAATGTGTTGCTAGATTGATGATTTACGGTAGCTTTTTGTCCTGTTAATCCAAACATTTAAATGTTGAAATGTCAATTTTCGTAGGAGATGGATTAAAGGTTTACTTACTTTTACATTTGTTAAAAAAAAACAATTTAACATTGTCCAAATTTACATAATAATTTTCAAGTTGATATTATAGATTTTTGTAGTGTTTTGTAGTTGTTGTTTTTTTAGGCCTATTTCAGTTGTATATACATTTTTACCTGAGAAAGATGTAGTGCTTCACCACGTAAGCATAGATTTTTGGTATGTCTTCAATTGTAGCTGTGAATATGAATGGGACACCACACTCATTAATCCAGTCCCCCAAGTCTTTCTGGAGTGCTGTCAGGTCCCCTGCAGTCTTGCACTCTAGGATCTAAATAGCAAAATCTGAGTGAGAACAATTTAGCTGGAGTTTCAAATTAAGCAATAATATGATCTGAGATTTAATAGTAATCTTTATTTATAGAGCAATGTTCTTAACTTGTGTTAAAAAGTGTTTATCAAGAATTGAACAAATTGATATATTGTCTACCAGTTAAAAAATGGTTTGTTTAAAATCCCCAAAATGAATAACATAATAAATATTAAGTACCCTTTTGACTTTGCTTTGCACCTCTGGGTCAGGCAGCAACTGCCAGTCAAACTGCTCAAGCTGTGGCTCCTGGCCACACATCAGCTGGAAGAGGCTGGGATCCAGGGCTTTGATGCATGGACCTCCATGTGCAATCGACCAAGCGATAAGATTCCCAGCTTTGAAGTACTTATTTTGGTCTAATGCTGCTTGGTCGTAACTAAGAAAGACCTGGCCAGCCTTTCCTTCGAAAATGCCAAGAGAGGTCTGAACCTCTATCATCAAGAGTCTAGAGTAGAGCAACAGCAAAGACAAATCAAACGATCTAACAATGCAATTACTTGAAAACATGAACACATTTTGAGTAAAATATTTCAAAATATTGAGGGTACACAGACCTGAAAAACTCTCGCTGTGGTCCCCCCATATCATCTGCATCTTCTCCTACAAACTCAATCTGTGGTGAATCGGTCCAACAGAAAGTGACTCTGGAGATTGCTTTAATGGCACTCTCCAGAAGCTTTTTCCTCCTGATACAACAAGTGGATATGACGCCCCCAGAAAGGTGATCCTCTCGAAAAGCGCTCAGAATTATGGCAAGCTCCACTTCCTCCTGAAGAATAATAAATGTATAAAGTATACAATAAAAATGACTGGCAAAAGAGGTTGGTCACTAAATAGGACTGATGATCTTAGAATATCTTTAAAAACAGCAATATACAATTATTTTTATTGTGAGTACGTGAAATGGCTAGTTATTGAAAATTATTGAAAATTACACTTATCGGTTTTTGTTAGGAAAAAAATAAAACTTACAGACGTAGGCATGTCACTTTCAAAAGGAACTGCAATGTTATCGTCCTCTTCCCCTTCCTCTGAATCATCAATGACAAAGTCATTGATAGAAGTACTACAACGGCAGACAGATTTCTTTGTAAGTGTCAATATAACTTTAAGGCATTTCAAAAAATAATTTCAAACTCTTCTGAACCCAAACATTTTTGGTACAGTTTTGGGGATAATCTGGTGTATTCAGTTATTATTATTAGTAAAATCTATGTAAAGTTGGGTATTATGAGTGTAAATTAATGTAAAGCCAGGTGTCACACATGGTTCCTGTTTTTATTAAAATAAAAAATACCTATTAGGTGGTTCCACATGTGCCCTTCTGTAAAAGACCTGTAAAGTAAAAATATTGTGTGGAATGTTCCAGTTAAAGTCAATATATTTGAAAAATTTAATAGAAGACATTAAATGGAAAACAATAAGAAAAAATAACTTTTGTCATGTAAAAGTTTACCTCTGGGGTACCAGCATTCAGCCACTGTGCAGGATCCAAACTTGCCTCCTATTGATAGAAAAGAGTTACAATGTATATCTAACTGCATTTTACTGAGGTTAGCTTTAAAAAATTATAACGATTATCTTTTAATACAGCTAGAAATCATTAAGATTAGCCTACTGTTTACTTTAGTCTGAATAATCAGAATTAGATACAAAATTTACTCTTTTTTTGCAGCAACTTACAAGTGATGGGTTTGAGTCTGTCCTTGGTGAGCTTCCATCAATGTCAAGAGTTGAAGAGAGTGACATGGCATTAAGGGGAGGGGACTCTGCACCTATATGAGAATTACTGTTAGATGTGAATGCTGGCATGTTCATAGGAACCGTAGGAGCAGGGGGTGTAACCTGGGGGGCAGAACCTGAGGCTTGAGGTCTGAGGGCCAGTGATGAAGGGGATTGGGATGGAAATACATCAATGGCTGCAGGGGCAGTGGTTGAGGCTGCAGGTCTGATGGCTGTCGATGCAGCAGTTGGTGTGGTCATCAGTTGTGTGGATGCTGAAGAAGCTAGAGACTGTGAAGCTGTCTCAGGTCCAGTTGGTGGAGATGTTTCTGGTGGGCTATGAGCCCCTTCAGGTTCGGGGATCTAAATGGAAAAGAAATGTTTGATAATTCTCATCAGTATGCTAAAATTCAAAAGGAGTGCTGCCCTAATAGAACAAATAAAACAAAAAAACTCACCTGTAACGGCAGTGTAATAGTGGTCTGGGGAATAATATAAACCCTGCTTCTTCCAACTGTTTTCTTCAGGTCTTTCAATGTATTAGCCTGAATTTTAGTCAGAACCCTGGTCTTATCAGCTCTTGCAAGATGATATCCAATGACATTCAGGCTAACCATGGGAAAGCTCTGGCAGATGTAATTATCAAACTCTGAAAGAGTCCAAGAAAGTTCTACGTAACCTCTATTTGAGACCCCACTTGGTAAATCATTTCTTGGGATTCCTGAAAAACAATACAAATTTATGTCAGCGAGTATGATATGTTGACTCATTTTTTCTTTCTAACCACCGACTAGGAGTTAAGGCCTTACAGTGTCTTTATAAGCCTTTAACAACATATATTGTTATATTTGTTATGTTGTGAGCATATGATGTGGCTATTTGTGCCTTATGCACAATATGATTTTTTTTTTTTAAAAAAAAAATTTATGGTGCAAGCTTAAAATCTTACAATCATTTTATATAGCACAGTAAGGGCAAGTCCACCTTCCAAAACATGTCAGACAAATGGTACTGGAATGAGATTATGTAACTGTGGTGTTTGTGGTGTCCATAAAAACTCAAGTGAATGCTCACTTTCAAAACTAATACATGTGTATCTTACCTAAGCCTTTTTGGCTTAGTTTACAGCATTCTGAATGAGATGGAAGGACAACTTCATCAGCATTTGGTAGCAGGAACAGCTTTACTCTCCAAACTCCAGGTGTCCTGTTTGCAGGGGCTTGTGTTCAAATCAAAAATATAGTGTGTTACATATTATTGCAAGGATCACCTTATTATGTACATTATATACTCATTATATTCATTCTCATGTTATGTCCTCAGTCATTGACATAACATTTTAATATTTAATGTTCATAACATAGCTTAAATTCTCCCTTAGTCGCTGCTGTTAACTCTCGTACAGCACATATATTTGTGCAATATCTCATTTAAAATTACTGAGATCTTTACAGAGAAGCCCTCTAAATCAAAGTGGCAGCCCCCCTTAAAGTGATGATCGACTTATACAATCCATGCATTGAAAAGTTTTGGAGGCTTCTCTTAACATCATTACACTCAATACTGCACGAAAATCATGTCCAGATTTATTTTTTCAATATTGTCAGAAAACATCCCTACTTAAGCTTATCATTACATATTAAGAGGAAAATTGACCCTAGGAATGTATTGTGGCTTCAAATAGCTCTATGAATTGCGCATCATATGCGCCTGCTTTTTGCTCCCTTAAGGTCCAATTCACAAAGCATACTGCATAAAGACTTTTGCTTCACGCAGTTTTCTCTTGTTTCATGTCTGATTGTGGAGTTAAGCCATCCGAACCTGCTCTCACTTCCTCGCTGTCTCGGATGCATTATCATACTGATGGTTCTCAATTCTGTCTACATACAGAGGAAAAACAGCGTGCACAGAGTACACCTTCCAGTTCACTAGAAAGTTGAGCGATACTTTAATATGTATGGGCTACACCCCAGATTATAAAGATAACGGTAATGTCAAAGTAACATTAACATAGGCTACATTATTGCAAATAAATAGTTATAGGTTATCCAGAGGCGGAACTGTTTTCATGATCACAGAAAAATGTCAATGGGTCATCAGAGACACTGTAGTAACGGTGCAGTTACCATTGAAAACGGCAAAGCACAGAGAGGCTATTTGTTCTGCAGCGAAGTTTAGGCAGAATTTAACCCTTAGCTTTTGATTTATAAATTAGACTGTGTCACAGTTTGTCAGACGCAAAAGCCATTCCTACTGAGAATTAGGTCCGGATTTTTCCAATAGTTTCTGTTAGCTACACATAGGACAGCCATAGCTAGCTAAGCCTTCTGCTTAGACTTGACTATGAAGTGGGACAAAAAAGGATTCGTTTAAAAGCCCCTTGCAATTCAGCATTGACACTGAAAATGGACATACTGAAATAAACTAATCAAACCGAACTTTACCATTTGGTGCTAATGCTAATTTAAGAGGGCTTACACATGCTACTTACCTGTCATCGGACCTGCTCTTCTTCGTCTCCGGAAAGCATTTCTGGTGGCACTCAAAATGTTGCTTTCACTCCTTTGCATTGCCAGTTCTTGTCTTGCAACATCCAGAGCATTCCACACGCGATTAATAATATTATTAAAACCACTTTCTGTGGCAGCTTCTTCTGAAGTCTGGCTCATGACACCGATAGCTTTGATTAGCAGTTCATGTCTGCCGCCACCTTCTGGTTATATTTGACCGTGAAAAAAAGCATAAAAAGCACTAAGAACCCCACTGCAGCTGTAGTCTACTTCTGAACGTGCAATTATGTGTCTGTCTTAGATGTTGTTGAAAAAGATTAAAATGCTTCAGTTGTAGGCTGTGTCTGGGTTTAAGAAAATGTTAGTTCGATTACAGTGAAAACTTAATATTTTATTTCACACATTCTGTTATAATTATATAGTTGTTTTTATTATTATATAGATTATAGTTTTCCTTACAATTCTGCTATGATAACAATTATAATTACATTTTGGAAACAATATTATTTAAAAAGGATTATGGTTGAATATATGTATTCCAACCATTAGAATAGGCCTACAATGGAAAATAAATGTATTTTAAATAAAATATTAATATTTTTTATTATAATAATATGTTGCTTAAAAGAAGACATTGTCTGACTTTTATTTTGCTTTTTTAAATCACGTTATGACCTGGTTGGTTTATTTCCAGTTCACATAGAAACATGCTGTCATTTGAAAGAACACAAAATAAATTGATCCTATAGTTAAAAAGAAAAAGAAAAAAAACATTTAAAAAGTATAAATATTTGCATATATTTCAGTGACATGTCATTGCTTTAATTTCCCACAAATACTGCAATCACTAATAATCATTAGTGATTTTTATAACAAATAAAACAAAGTTTAAAAACAAAGATTGGACTAGAGATCAATACTTCTCTGTAACATAAATAAAAATGTAATATCAGATGTGGTTTTGAGCATGGGTCATAAAATTCTACCAAAGGACATTCAATGTGTTACCATTTTGTGAAAATATAACGTAAAACAAATAAACAAAGCTTAAAAAATTAGCCACAGTTTATCTCAAGGTACTATTCAGAGCTGGTCCTTTAAGGCTGGCAAAATCATTGGTTTGACATTGACCAATCAAAATCCTTGTCCCGACTGCTTCATCAGCATGCATACTACTAGTGCTACTAGTGCTACTAGTACTACTAGTAAGAGCCTAAATGTCCATTAGTAGTACTAGTGCAACTAGTGCAACTAGTGCTACTAGTACTACTAGTGCTACTAGTAAGAGCCTAAGTGTCCACTAGTACTACTAGTGCTACTAGTACTACTAGTGCTACTAGTACTACTAGTGCAACTAGTGCAACTATGTGCAACTAGTGCTACTAGTACTACTAGTGCTACTAGTGCTACTAGTAAGAGCCTTAATGTCCACTAGTAGTACTAGTGCTACTAGTACTACTAGTGCAACTAGTGCAACTAGTGCAACTAGTGCTACTAGTACTACTAGTGCTACTAGTAAGAGCCTAATGTCCACTAGTAGTACTAGTGCTACTAGTACAACTAGTGCTACTAGTACTACTAGTGCTACTAGTGCTACTAGTAAGAGCCTAAATGTCCACTAGTAGTACTAGTACTGTACACATTAGCAGCATATATAAGTATAGCACCATCTGGTGGGCATTTGCAAGTAGTATCTTAATTTTATGCTTTAATCATAAAAACATGACTCCTCATATGATAAAATAAATCTTAATGTATGTTGCTTGTGCACTTATATCTGCTCACTGCCATATGTATCTTTTCTGCTGGGCTTACTCGAAGCTAAACCAAGAAAATTTAGCAAGTCCATAACATACCGATCCTGCAACTGACACCTAATGGCCGAAATGCATATCTCTCTGCAGCTACTTCTTGTATAAGGGTTATTTCTCCAGATGTAAGAGGCTGACTTTATATTTATAAAAAAAAACATTAAAACATCTTATTCACATTAGTTTAATAATTCAGTATACACTTGTCCTAAATCCTAATATTTTATTCAATATTTTGCATGATCATCTAGCAGATAAACTAAATATAAACACATTTCTTTCATGATTTAAAAAAAATATATTTAATTTTCACTTTTGCAAGTTTCAAACTAGTATATCTTTCATATTTTATTTGCCATATTTCAATGGCAAAAAAAGCTAAAATCCTTGAACATTAATGTTGTGCAAGATTTTATTTTTATTCAATCATACTACTATATATAAATATTAAGTGATGGGTTATTGTTTATTTTTGACAAATACTGCAATAATGAATAATCATTAGTTGATTTTAGAACAAATAATACTAAGTTTAAAAAAACAAAAAA